GATCTCTGTGTGTGTTGTCTCGGTATGTGTTGTCTCGGTGTGTGTGAGTCTCGGTGTGTGTGATCTCTGTGTGTGTGATCTCTGTGTTGTGATCTCTGTGTGTGTGGTCTCTGTGTGTGATCTCTGTGTATGTGGAAGAACGCGTAGCAGGAGGCGCGGAAGAAGTGAAGCGGAAGAAGCGGGATGAGACATAGAAAAGAAGAACCCCACACTAAGATGTGGGGAAAAAACGTCGAACATGTGTCACGGGGCGGCTGAAGCAGTGCTGTCGCACGCTTTGAAGTTAGCCCAAGCTGCTGAGTCAACGGTAAGCGAAAAGTTGAAGTCGATGTCCACAGCACGATCGCATTTGAAGGTCGACACCTGCATGTTCAACAAAACCGAAACTTCCTGCTGGATCCTGCTGGAGAAATTTAAGTTGCCGTGCAGCCTGCTTCTGCACCACTGATGCAAAAGTACCCTGGAGTACGGATCTCGAGAACTCAAGTAGAGCGTGTGGCACCACCTCCACAGCAGAGCACTGTGCCGCAAAGTGGAACGCTGCAAACTCTGAGCAACAGGCGATCACAACCAGCCGCTTTGCATCAGCGAGTACAAAGGAGAGAAGGGGCGTAACCACAGTGGTCTTTCCCTGACCTGGTACTTCTAAACTTCAGAGTTCACCAGGCACACTTTGGTGACAAGCCCAGCTCTGGAAACATGTCTCCCTCACAGCATAAGGCCATAACCCATGATCATTTGCTTTACCTTAGCTAACACCAACAGCTGATGATTCCTGACTCTCTGGTCCAAATGCACGGGAGCAAGCTTTCAGCCGGGCCACAGCACTGCTGTCTGAGTGGATGATGTCAAGGAACTCTCGAACCATTTCTACCTGTGAAATCTCATATATACATAGAAGAGTTCGATTGCTGTGATAAATTAAATATAGAAGAGGATGATAAAGTGGTTACAGTGGTTAAAGATCGGTAGAGTAATCAATGTACCTGTCTGGGTCGCAGGAGAAAGCCAGAGATGAACTCGAAAAGAAGGAACCGTGGGTCGAAGCCTGGCTACAGTAGAGTCTGGAAATGCATGCCCTCAAAGGAGAAATCGGGCGTGCTCTTTTGTGTGTGTGTGTGTCCGAACCTCTCTCTCCATTCACATCTGAGATGTAGATGCCTGGAATGGGTCATGAGTCATCAGTGGTATAAAGCAAGGTGCTCACTTTCAGTGGCTTGGGAACATCACGTTCTGCAGCGATTGTGCTCGACAATAAAGAGCTCCTGCCAGTTGTATCTATCCGTGACTTGATCCAAAAGCGGAAACAACCAAGACATCCCAAGGCCCAGACTTTTCAGTAAGTCCAGCTTTCAGGGCCAATGCAGAGCTTGAAGCCTGGGCGAAAGCTCATTCACGTCTGCCGAAAGTTTGATGAACATATGCAACTTCCGGACAGGCATGAGTTGAATTGAGTATTTATACACTGTATATGAATACATATTCATGGTTAAGCCTCAGTTGCTTTTTTCTATGTGTGTGTGTGTGTTGCTGTAAAAGCAAAACACAAACAGCTTGTGCTAGGATGGGGGCGTTGTCACGTTCCAGTAAATTCAGCAAGTTTCGGCAGTGGTCCATGGCCTTGTTTAAGCAGAAGCTGCACAGTTGTCTACCGACGGACTTGCCAAAGACTATATACAGAAGTTTTTGGCCTGTGAAAGCTACAATCACAACTACTGACTCAAACTTAGGAAGACACCCTGCAAACCTGCTGCCGTCTTGATGTGGCCAGCATCATCTGCGACAAGGCTGCCAGCAGCCTAAGGAAAAGATCCAAAGCGGAGGGCTTTAGGTCTTGGACTACCTGCGTCCTAGATAGCACAGTAAAATTAAAAAAATGAAGGTAAGGACCTGTTTACTATGGCCCCTTGAAAGGACCCTTATTAACTTATTATCCTGACTAGTGTAAACGACACCCTATAGTCATACCTTCTTGTTTTCCCTGCTTTAAGAATGCGGCTGATTGTTTTTCAAGAACTCTTCCGCTCTCGCACACATTGTCATTCATTCATGCTCGTTATATGTTCATGCTCGTGACGACTCAGGATCAAGCTCGTGGACGTCCTCCTGTGAACAGAAGTGCAAAGTGAAGCTAAGTGCAGCGGTGCTTTGAATTTTTGGGGCACAGTCATGAGCACACAAATGTCATTTAATGTGCAATGTGTTTTTTAGTCAACACATTCCCTTTAGCATTTGCCTCTCAATTTTCCTTAGCCGGGGTAAACTTCCTTGAAGAACCCTGAGCTTTTCGTGCGTCCCAGGGTCCAAAAACTAGCGTTCTTGGTGGCCTACTGCTGACCTCTACTACGCTTCTTAACGGCCTTTGGAGAAAAGGTGTCTAAACAGAACTATCGAAATCAAAAAGAAAAAACTCTGCTTCCTCGGTGAGAAAAGGATTAAAGCGCTTGAAGTCCGTGATGCAGTCCGGACTGAGAAGTGTTCGGCCTCCAGGCCGCAAAGGTGCGACTACCAGCAGACTCTTTCGGCAATGTGTATCGATCAGTCTAAACAAGTTTCAAGTTTCAATCAAAGTCCTTTGGAAATTGTATATGTATAATATTATATATATACATGATTGTAGAACCTTTCGGTTTCAATTTATGATAATTTATGGTGTATAAAGAAGTTTTCATCCACCTTAAAAAACTCTTTTCGGGGCTCAACTGCCATCAAGGCACAAAGCAGTTGGAACCACATCTCTGTCTCATGGCCAGCATATCTCAAGAGCCAAAAGTGCCTGACCAATCGTGCAAGCCCAACTGGTTCCACAAATGCTTGCAGTAAGTATCACGGATATCAAAAACCCTTCGATCAGCCTAGATTCTGAGCTCGGAGCAGCCTTTCAACAGGATGATCCCTGATTTCCTCTGTTGTGCTGCAGGCGTCCACAGCTTTGAGAAGATGGTCGATGGTGGCACTGACCTGGAAGGACGATCACCCGATGCAAAGCAGACGGCATTCAAAGCCACTCGTAGAAAGATAGAAAGCGGAAACAAACAAAAAAGGGAGCAACTATTTCAGGGGAAAGACAGGAAATATGGCAAAGTTTTTAACGATCCCAATCCCATGTAAAGGATTGCAGCACAATCCCTTCTCAGGCCCAAACAAAAGTCTCGTCGTGCACCTTCATTGCTTGAAGGCCTGTGGCTTCAGCCAAGCACTGTTTAAAGTTTCAGTTCTTGTAAGGCATTGTAAGGAGCTGCGGGGCTCAAAGGCCCGAAGGCTCGGGCGTGCGGTCGCCCAGGGCGAGTTGCGCGGCCCCAAGTCGCAGGTCCGTGTCCATAAGGTGGGTGCGAACACCCATCCCCGTTGTTCACGTGGCTTGTGACTCGGTGGTCCGCACTAAGTTCAAGTGTCCTGCCATGGAAGCTGCTTTGGCCATTGCCGACGGCATTCTACATGATCCTTTGAGGTCCACCACGCGCTCCCTGCTCCACAATGCATCGACTGAGGCCCTCATTTGGTTCTGGCTGATCGTATTGTATTGAGTGGAGAGATCGTATCCGTTCTGCAGGAAGATCTGGTGTTGGCCATCTTCCCCTTCACACCTGCACGAGGGTTTGAAGCAGTGCCAAGTGATGAAAAGATGGTTCATGTGAGAATTCCTGGATTGGGTGAGCGCTCTATCCACACGGCACCAGGTGTTCAAGTTGTTTGTGCAGGGAAGCCTATTTCCTGGGATGAGCATCGTTATGAGATTGACCACAAGGTCGTGGTGACTTTCCGGCCCGAGATAAGTGATGCGATGCCATGTAATTTCCTCCACCTTTTCAGTGGATCGTTTGGAGGCTGGAGTCAAGCAGCCTCCTTTCTGCATCATGCGGACAAAGTCTTTTCGCTGGGACAGGAGATTTCAGTCGACAGTGATGAAACAGTAACGCAGATATGGAGTGCCCAAGCTGGCATTGCGCATTTCCGTGGACCAGTTGCATATAACACACAGTGGTCTCCAGCTCAAAAGGTTGGCATCCTCACGTCTGTATGTGATTGGTCATTGACGAACATGCGCCGCATCCAAACGAACCTCTGCTGCACGATGTCACCACCGTGCCAGCGTTGGTCTAAGGCTGGGAAGCGTATGGGATTGCAAGACAGCAATGGTTGGGCATTCATTCATGCCATTGAGTTGGCCACCATTGTACAGCCAATCACAATAGCAGCGGAGTGCAGTGATGAAATCACGGAGCACCCTCACTTTAAGATTCTTGAGGCACTCCTTCACTCGCTTGGATTTCGGCGAACTTGGACCCAGGTCACACCGTATCATGGACTTGCCGACCATGCCCGCTCACGTTGGTTGTGCACTTGGGCCAGAGCTGATGTTCAAGCTCAAGCCATTGGTTTTACCTTCGCACTCAAAGCTTCGCCCAAAACGCCATGGGATGACCCTGCATACCATTTTCGCATTCCGGAGGTTTGGGTCAACCAACTGGTCCTTTCGGAGTCTGAAAAAGCCATCTACACCGATCCCAAGCTGTTCCCTGGTGCCAAACGAAAGAGACCTGATGGAGATAATGCCACGGCTTGTCATACCCTGTGGGCAAGGTTCCAAATGGACATGAGGCCCTTCCCACGTTATGTGCCTCGTACTCGTCACAACACACCCTTTCCAAGGTGCATGTTCAAGATCGTGGACTCTTCACCTTCCTCAATCAGACCAGTCGCGGGTTTGAATTCTTTGACCCGGTGGAATAACTGATGCAGCATGTGATACCCACAAAGTCCATGTGGGGTGTCTTGATGAATAGTTTCCACAGTGACAAAATCAGGGTCAACCTGTGCAATACCAATGATGTAGTTGAGCAAAGGCAGCAGTGTCTGACCGATGGAGTTGGGAACAGTGAAATAGAACCTTGCATTCTCGGGAGAGACATAGAGTTCAATTTGAACCCAGTGGTTCAGCGTCACAATACTCCAAAAGATGTGGCTGTAGGACTGAATGTCCGGGACATAGTCATTGAGGTAGGTGAGTTCAGCCCTGGTTGGCACCCACATGGCCGGCGGGCAGAAAAGCGTCTCAGGATGATGCGCCCTCAACAGATCCAAGGTAAAGTCAACCTCATCGGTTGCTGCCCATCCGGGGTATCGCTGGAAGTGCTGCAGTCGCGCAAGGATCTCAGTAATGGCATTCGGCGGCTCCTGTGGTGGAGGTCTTGCAATCGGCTGTGGTGCAGGAATAGCAACTGTCAGCCGAGGTTGAGGCACAGGTTGTCCAGCTGCTTCGCGCCTCGCCCGATGCCAGAGGAAATTCCTTCTCAACTGTGGCATGTTGCATCGGCGCCAATCTTCGATCGAGCTCTGGATGCATGTATCAATGATCTCAAGGACGTGCGGAGGCAATGGTGACTGGTTGACCTGGTTGGCCAAGTTGTTGTGCAAATGGAAATGGGCAACCCATCGATGCAGTAACAGCCACCCACACAAATGCGGAGGCGCATTGTCGCCATCAACTGCGACCTCGAAGCGATGTGGCGCAATGTCGAGAAGTCTAGCAAAGAGGAAAGTCAACTTGATTCTCACACTTTGCGGAACCTGCACAAAGACCACACGGGTGCCATGTTCTCCACGATGTATCTCAACTGCACTCCAGTGATTGGTGATGAGAATTGTAAGAACCGTTGTGCAGCCATTGTAGATATGAATCTCACCAGATTCGGGGAACTCAAACTCATCTTCATTTGGATCCCAAAAAATAGGAGGAGTGAATTTGTAGAACATCTGGCTCCACTGGATTTCCTGCGTGTACATATCGATTTCGTCACTAGCTACCCAGCCTTGCGTACTGCACATAAATTCAGCTCTGTCAACGAACGGGGCGCTCGCTGGGAGCGAGGGCCGCGGGCCTGGGGCCTCATGGTGTCCCCCAGCACGGATATAGCCATCAGGCAGTAATTGCAGAACATCATCTGTGGTAAGGCGGATCTTTGGCTGCTCAGGGTTCTTCCCATTGAGGAGGCTGATAACGAAGTGTTTTCCCTTCCACCAAAAGGTGGTGTGCAAGGGAATATTTGACAGCAGGTGAACAAGCTGGAAGCTGTCAATAATGCCAAAGTGCAAGGCAACACGCACTTCTCCATGCACCGATCGATCTTCTCCAAGTACCAAATGTGTATGGAGCACGAAATCCCATGGTGCAGCGACAATTCGACCATTCCAGGCACTTGCAATGTCTTCAGCAATTGGTCTGAGCTCACCTCCATCTCCAACAAGCTGGAAGTCACACTGGCCAGCAGAATGAAGGAATACAATCCGCTGTGGTGCACTGCAGTTGCTTGACAACCGATCACAGAGTGACAAAATTTGTTGAAACCAGTGTTGCTTGCATGTGTCATCGAATGGGCTCTCCTCAGCAACTTTAAAGAGCTGGTTAGCAGGGCAGTCATCATCATCAAGAACATCGATGACCTCAGCTGGCGATGGGATGGAGACACTGCACGATCCAATTGGGGTTCCGGCCACAACAAACTCCCAGCAGGTGCCAGGATCAGCAAGGTTCAAAGTGCTCGAATGCCTGTTTGGGTTGTCATCATGAGTACGAAAGGCAATCTGGTCAATAAGCTCTTTCGGACCGTCAAAGACCAATTGCAAGACCTGGCCACGTGTTGCACCCTTAGGGACATGCACATTTACACTGTGGTGACCAAAGGCCCCAACAATTGCAAAATGATGGGAACCATGCATGGTCGGCAATGGCTTGACTGAAACCCATTGGTCCACATGATCAACATGAATAAGATGGACAAAAGTCTCATGCTGAAACAGGACAGCATTTCGAGCACACAAACGTGATTGCCATGCCTGCCGACCAACTTTAAGTGGGTCAATACCCGTGTGGCCAACAGTGTGCATGGAAATCGAAATAGCCAAAAGGCCATGCGGGACCGAAATGGCATTGCCTACCCCTCTCAAGCCTCTTTGGACTTCGCACCCCTTCGTGATCCGCAGCTCCAAACGATCTGGAGACACCAACTGGGAGATGACATTGGGGAAATTCGAAAGGAGGCAAGATTGGTTTGGCACAATACAGGTGCAGAAGAAGAGCTAAGAGATTTCGCAGCCAATGTCAGAGATTGGTTCCTGATTCGTGTGTTGGAGCGCCGATTCCCTGACCATTACATTGCTGGTGGGGCCGTTGAAGATGTTGCCATGGCACCGCCTGATGCTCAGCCCAAGACCAAAGTCAAGGCATCTGATGCTACGCCAAGTGGCAATGCTTGAAGCACCAGCAGTAAAGCACCGAGTGATCCATGGCTGCGCAATGATCCGTGGGCTAAGCGCCCGCCTCGCCCAACCCAAGTGGGAAGACCTCGTCACCAAAGAGCCCGTTCCCTTGTCGACGAACATGACAAGCACTTAGGTCAAACACTGCAGTTGGCTCCCAATCGAGGAGGGGTCATCTTGGCGACCAAGACACACTTGCCAGAGATCTCAAAGGTCCAAGCAGCTCCAAATTTGATTGCGCTGATTCTGATTCCTGCATCGGACTCACCCAGTTTGGCTCATTGGCAAACCGCCTGGAAGGGCCTTATGAAGTTTCGCTCCATGACAACACGGCAAAGATTTCCTACAAGCGTCTTGTGCATATGATGGTTTTTGCTGGGAAGGTGAGATTCCAATTACCGGAGGCAACTTTTAAGATGACCACGCCTGCAGTTGCTGAAGTTGTCTTAGAATTTGATTCACGCTTGACCAGCAAGAGTGACATTGACAAGATCAAAGACTCACCAATTGTCATGTTCAAGCAAGCTGTCAATGAGGCGTTGCCGAATCCCAATGCGGCCATCACCCTGTACGGATATCGCACGTCGCATCATCCGGGAGCAACCAAGCAGGAGTGCCAACTCCAGTGTGTCTTGAAAGCACCTTCAGTGTCCCGCAAGTCACTTCTGGAAGTGAGTGGACTTTCGATGAGAACGTACCGTGCAGCTGGAGTGCACACTTGGGTGGTGACGGCCCAGGAGCTTCCCAAAGCATCACGCTTCACACTGGAGATCAATCGGGAGCTCGTAGAAATCCTTGTCCAGGAAGTCGTTCCAAGTCAGCCAGCTCGCCCTTCTGCCAAAGGGAAGTCTAAAGGCAAGTCAAAGGGCAATGATATGCCAGCCGAGCCAATCGCCCCATGGCCCCTCAAGATGCCGGCT